CATTGAAAACAGGCAGAAAAACCACACCTTCAACTAAGGTTCAGGTTCAGGAACATTTGAAATGAAATATCTCATTATGAGTTAGAGCATGTTTAGATGAAACTAAGCTCTTTATGTCAAACAAGCTCAGAATCTATCATTCTTCCTGTATTAGTCTGAGTTCTCCAGAGAAACAGAACCAATAGTGTGTGTGTATGTGTTTGTGTGTGTGTGTATTTGTATAGATGGAGGTTTATTGTAAGAAATAGGCTCACACAATTATGGAGGCTGGCAAGTCCAAAACCTGCAGTGTGGGCCGGCTGGCTAGAGACCCGGAAGAGCCAATGGTGCAGTTCCAGTCTGAAGGCAGTCTGCTGGAGATTTTCCTCTTGCTCTGGGAGGCCGGGCCTTCCACTGATTGGATGAGGCCCACCCACATTATGGAAGGCAATCTGCTTACTCAAAGTTCACTAAGTTAAATGTTAATCTCATCCAAAAACACCCTCCAAGTTGACACATAAAATTAACTACCACACTTCCCAAAGCTAACTTTTTATAGGGAGAGCAAATCAAGACATTTTATATGAAGTCAAGTTCAATACCACTCGTACATTACAAATGAAGCTTCCTATTTATCGTTAGGACTATGCAAGTTCAGATGTACTCTTCTCAATGGTATCCGATTAGGGTGAGTTAGAGCACAGTTAGTTGAAAGTACAAATGAAATCAAGCTTCATTCAGCCTGGTAGCCTGGTTTTTGCAGGATTTAATATCTGAACTTAGACTTGGACATTGGACTTCTGCATTGTGCCCTTACCTTTGATCTGGAACTAAGCCTTAGAAGTCTTAGAAGGCTGATACTGTAAGCAGCTTTTGCAGGAAAGAGATCTTTACGGGAAAGAGCTTTCTGCAGGAGGCCCTTTTTATCTTGTCACTTTAGCAAAGTTATATTGTAAGTAACCGTAAACCAGGCACTGCATGCTCTACTCACCTCTGGCCCAAGCACACCTTTCAAACCTTTTGATCACAAAACGCCTTGCCTAAACTGTTGGTTCTTTCCATAGATCAAAGAAGTAGAAATGAAGAATAAGTAATTAACAGATGACCAGATCTCTTCCCTAGCTTCCCCTTCAGCAATCTTGCAAACAAACTGTTTGAACAAGATATCATCTAAAGAAAGCACGAGGAGTTGACAAGTCTGCATGTAGTGGGAGATGGTGACAGTTTGATCCCCTATCTCAATGATTAACTGAGATTATTTCCTCTTTTCCCTTTTAAAACTTTCACGGCCAAGCAGAATCTTTGAAGGTGGTTTTGGGATGAGTCCACCTTCTCCCCACATTGCCAGCTTTCTGATTAAAAGCCATGTTTTCTGTTTCTACAAACACTTGCCTCTAGGGTATTGATTTTCGAGTGGTAAGCCCTGGCCCTGAGTTTAGTAATAATGTCTGGAAGGTGAAGAGAAATGAGAGGGTGGAAGAAGAGATGGTGTTGGAGAAAATTAAGAATAAAATTGCCTGCCAACCCAGATAGTTCTCTCCGTAAATGTAGAAAAGAAAGAAAAGTTTTATTATTGAATAAGTGTTAAACCAGACTGTGAAATGCATCATAGGCAATCTTCTGAGATTGCAAAGAGAGAAATCCCAATTTTTATATAGTTGAGTGGTTACAACCCATTACAAACATGTTCTCAAGGTTAATGGTAATTTGTCCTCTTATAAGAGGATTTGACAACTTTGTTTACTGTACATTTTTTTTCACAGTTCATACTAAATTCACCTGGTAATTGGGGGTAGCCACCTGTGCCGATGAGGTAGGAGATAGATGGGTCCCTGGGCTGAGCAGCTGGAATTTGTCAAGTGGAATAAATTGGAGCTTTGTTTTCCCTAGACACTCCAAGGACAAAGTTAGTGGCAGGATCTGAGCTCTGCTAGTGTAAAGAGATAAGACAACCACTCTGAGGTCAAGGAAACCTCACCAACTGTACATGTGCAGGAAGGCTCCTTGGGGGTCAAAAATGGAGGGGGTGTCATCCCATAATAGGTGTTGTCAGACCGCCCACTAGCCTTTGTGCTGGAATCCATCTTGGCAAAAGGAGGCACACACATATTTGGGGAAGGTCCTAGGGCAGGTCAGATGTGGGAAAAGAAGCAAGATAATTGGCCAGAGGAAAACAAAGACCCAGAAGAACTGCCCTGTATAAATGACTCAATCACCTCTTTACTGCACTCCTCCTCATTAAGGAGGATGCCCACACCCTTTCTCTTCGGGTGTGTACTTCTGCCTTGCTTCTGTCTTAAATAAATAAACTGTTTTCTGTGAGCTCTCCCATGTGTTGTGCTTCTTTTTTTTTTTTTAATAAATTTATTTATTTTTGGCTGTGTTGGGTCTTTGTTGCTTCGTGCGGGCTTTCTCTAGTTGTGGTGAGTGGGGGCTACTCTTCGTTGCGGTGCGTGGGGTCTAGGTGCATGAGCTTCAGTAGTTGTGGCACGTGGGCTCAGTAGTTGTGGCTTGAGGGCTCTAGGGCGCAGGCTCAGTAGTGTGGTGCACAGGCTTAGTTGCTCTCTGGCATGTGGGGTCTTCCCGGACCAGGGCTCGAACCGGTGTCTCCTGCATTGACAGGCAGATTCTTAACCACTGTGCCACCACGGAAGTCCTGTGCTGTGCTTCTAATAATAAACTTTGTACCTGTTTTTACAGTTTTTGCCTCCTTGAAACATTCTTGTTACAATGGGTCAAGAGCCAGGGCAACTTTGCATCTTGCCTCTAGCCCCTGGTGGACTACCAACTAGGACTCCAGGTTTTCATCCAGGCTACTCAGGTTCAATTCCTGGGCAGGGAAATAAGATCCTGCTTCAAGACATTGCTCACTGCTGTCCCTCTGAGAACACTAATTACTTTTATTTGAAAGAAAAAAAAAACCAACTTCTAACTCTATGACAAGGAGGTAGTTATAGTTTTGAGCTAGGCATTGAAGCTAAATTCCCACATGATGGGAACATAGGGAAATATCTTCCTTAATGGTTTATTTCAGAGATGGCTGCCAGGCCTTTAAGAAAAACAACATACTTCTTAGCCTTTAAAAAGATTTACATATATATCAAAGGGGCACATGATTTACAAATAGGTTTCTCAAGGAAATGATAACAGTGAAAGCTAATTTTCAGTTACCATTACAATTTAAACGCTCTTCCTATGAATTGAACTTGGTCTGCTTTGCCGAATCCCAATTGGCGTGTTGCCAGTTGAAGGTACCAGCTTAGCCCTTAAAGAGGATCTTTGGTAAAAAGCCAAAGAGCCAGACTCCAGCCGGATTGAGGCTTCTGAGGCAGGCGACAGGTGGGCCCCAGGCTGAGCAGCTGGAATCCTTCCCCTCTGGACAGACACTCCAAGATAAAGATAATGGCAGGAGCAACGAGAAGCTGAGTTCTGCTTGGATAAAAGATAAAGAGAACATGTATTTCTCATTCTTGAGGTCAAGGAGACCTCTCAAACTACACATGCAAAGAAAGGTTCCTCAGCAGTCAGAGAATGGAGGGGGTGCCAGACCATAATATGTTCTTCTTTCCAGAAACCCTAGGGCTGTAATCTGTTTTGGCTAAAAGACACAACTGCCCAAAGTGGGGGGCCCTGAGTCAGATCACATGTGGACTCAGAGCCAGGCAAAGCAAGACGATGGGCCAGAGGAAACCCAGAAAAAATGCCCCACGTAAGTGATTTAAACTACCCCAAAGGTGCTACTCTTTCTCTGAGCCTGCCCCTGTGTCTACCCACATGTACTTTTTTTCCTCCTAATAAACACTTTACTTGTTTCATTACTTTCCATCTCTTTGCTGAAATCCACTTCTACAAAGCAGACGATCCAGGGCCTTGTCACTAGCCACTGGCCCTCGTGGTCCTGCAGTTAGGATTCCGTGCTCTCAAGGCCACGGCGCGCAGCTTCAATCTCTGGTCTGGGAACTGAGACGCTGCTTCAAACCACCACAGGCCGAGGCCACCCGAGATCACTTCCATCCTCTAGGAACTGGATGTGAGCTTGTCACTAACCCTGAGGACCTTGACGAGGGGAAAGTGACTACACGGCAAGGAGAGCGCCGGAGTTGAGTGTAAGGGATCAACAGAGACTTTGGGAGTCCGCTTTACCTCCGCAGTCCGTTTTCCAACCGCCAACTCCCCCGCCCCCCACAAGTAAAATGGCAATGAACACAGGGGTGAGCGAACAGCACAGAGCCAAACTTAGATGGTGCTCGCGGAAGGTGGCATGCATATTTTAGAGCCTAAGCCCAGGGAATTTAGCCTGGTCACGATAGGAAAAAACCACCTGAGACGCTCCCAACCGGAAGCCGAACCCTCCACAAGCCTACCGGAACTGCCTTCGCCGGGTGACCCTGAGCGCCGAGGGTGTGGACCTGGAAGCCGTCACGGAAGCGGCCGCAGAGGCTTCTGGGGAATCTTTCAAGCGAACAGGCAGAGGGAACAGAGATTTCATTCGGGAACCACTACCTGTTTATGCATGGGTATTTTATAAACAGAGACGGGTAGGCTGTCACTACATAGCCACTGTCGTGGTAAATTAACCGCGCGGTCCACAAGCGGCTCCTGGGACGGCCAGCGGGAAGGGAGTCCGCGAGGATTCTGGGAACTGTAGTTCTGGTGTAGTTGAGCGGCCGAGGGTGGGGTGAGCGGTCGGGTCCTCTTTGGAGAGCGAGGCCTGCCGGGCCCGTGGCCCCACGGTGTCACTCCCCTGCTGCAGTAGGGTGGGGATAGGCCGGGCAGGGCCTAGGGTTGGGAGTTGGGGAGGAGTGCGGCTGCTGGGGGTGTGCGGCGGCCCAGGCCGGCGGGTTCGGGCGGTTTCGTGCTTGGAGGAGGGGGCGCGGCTCGAGGTGCGCGTTTGTGGCGGGGAAATGGGGTGACTCCTCTAGCTGCGAATCCCTGAATTGCGGGGCGTTACGCGGAACTTCACTCCTCGGCTGGGGCGAGAGACCTGGAACTCAAATTTCTTTCTTGGAAACGGGGTGGGTATATTCTGGGCCAAACAATTTACGAGTAGGGGGCAGCTCCAGTGCGCATCCCCGGCGTTTATTTGGGGTGTAGGGGTGTGTTCAGCCAGGGCCAAATAGACATCCCTTGTTATGGGGGCTGGGGGCGCGGCTTGGGCCATGTGTCCCTGGGTGTTGTTTGGCCTGGGAGCACTTACGTGCGTCCCGCATCCCTGAACGGTTGTGGGAACCCAGGACTGATCGTGAATGTCAAGTTTTGTTTTTGATGGGGCTGAATATGACCCAGTGGTGATTGGGCGGAGGTGGGGTGGAGGAGAGAGCATCTCAGGCCCTGCTCTGCGTTGGCTTGTTGGCGGTGGGTGGAGGTGAGTTCGACGTGGGCAAAATATCCGTAAGGGGTGGTGGAGTGTCTTGGCTCTGGAGTTCCTTGGGTTTTTAGAAAATGGGGAGGTTTGGGGCCTGAGGCAGACATCCTACAGTGATGGTGCACTGCACCGCTGGGGCCTGCATCTAGGCAGTTTTTTGAGTGCAGGCAGGTCTGCTTCTCTGGGATCTCTTGTCCCACGGTTTGTCCTCATCCCGGGGCCCACTCTGCTTTATGACAAAGATCCCAGATTTGGTTGTAATGTAAGTGGCTTGTTTGGCTAATTCTCCCTCTCTTAGAATGCTTTTCCCTCATGTGTTGGGGTTCAGACCTCTAGTTTGGGACTTACCCAGATTAGGTAGTGTGGGGACCTCTGAGGGCTGCTGGCCAACTGTCCAAATCACTTCTGGGATCTGGTGAAACCCAGGTATCAGGACTTTAATTTTGGGGTAAGGTCAAATTTTAAACCCACGCAGTAGAATAGTACAGTAAACTCACATGGACGTATCACCAGATTCAACATTCATTAATTCACAGACAATCCTGTTTCATACACATCTCCTCAACTTGTCTTTGGATATGCTTTGAGAACTGTCACACCCGGTAGGGGTTGACCATCACTGACATTACAACTCATCCAACGGGCTAAGGCCATGGCACTCACAGCTAGAGATCAAATCTAGGCACTTTCTAGCTCTGTCACTTCAGTTTATTAGAAGACCTAACTCCGGGCCTTTGGGAGACAAAAGTTGTACAGTGCCTGGAATTGTCTGTGGTGTATAGTAAGAGTTTAGTAAGTGTTAATTATTATTAGTAACAAAGGATGATTTTCCTATTTAATAGCATATCAGGACAGACTGTATTTTGATGCCCACATATGACTGTGTCCCCAGGAAGCTGTCTACATTCTTCTTTGACAGATCTGAGGCTGTTTTTGTTTTTTAAAGAAGAGGAGCACCCGTTATTTTAAGCTTGGGGATTTTTAGCTTGGTATCTGGGGGCCAAGAGACAGTCCTGAAGCTCACACTGCCTGTTTCATCCTCAGGTTCACCTTCTCACATCCCTGCCTGCCCAGAGAGGACTGTATAGAGAACGAGAGAACTTCTTGCAGGTGGATACCACTCACCTTCCATGTTTCTGCAGTGTCTTCTGTTCTCCAGACCTTGGGCAAATTTCCTTTGCTCATCCTGACGTTTTGTGCCCTGCAGTGTTCCATTTGAGGCTCAGAGGACCTGCTTGTTTCTGTAGGATACCAGGGCTGATTTAAGGGCAAAGGCCTTTAACAGGGAATATTACCCCAGACAAGTGCTCTCATTCAGGTTACCACCGTCCTTGCCCTAGCAACATTTCATCCTGGCTGCTGGATTCCCAAGACTGTGTCAGCTGTTGTAAAATAAAAAATGATGGTAACTACCACTTATTGGGAGTTGTTCTGTGCCAGGCACTGGGCTTTACAATCTCTGTAATATTTTATTCCCTCAGCACTGACTTATTTGAACAAACCTACGCTCACATATGATTCCTCTCTTCGTTACATGTGACGGATAAGAGTTGCACTGTTAATTTCTACAACACATCTTTGGAGCATGTAACTGCTGCCAGAGGGCTTTCTTCTAAGTTAAAACATAAGAACAAAATTACATAATTAATGCCTTTTTTTTTTGGTGGTTAACTTTTCACATAGAAACTACAAATCCATCGTCCAGCATCAACAATGATCAATTCATTTTCAAGGTTGTTTCATATACCACCCCTGCCTCCCACCTTTTTTTGCAGAATTATTTTAAAGCTAATTCTAGACATCATATCATTTCACTTATAAATGTTTCATTATGTGTCCTTAACTGAGAAGGACTTAAATTTACCCTTTTTAAAAAAACAGGTGTAATTTATATACAACCAACTACACAGATCTGAAGTATATGTTTCAATGGATTTTGACAGACATGTACTCCCGTGTAACCATCACCTCCAACAACTGGAATTTGTGTTCTGTTTCAGAATTCTTTGCCTACACCAAAGTCATGATGGTATTCTCCTATGATTTTTTTTCCTAGAAGCTTAAAGTTTTAGCTTTTACATTTATGTTTATGATCCATTTTGATGTATTTTTTTTGTGTATGGTTTGAGGTTTTGAGGTTTGACATAGTACTTGTTTATAGCACCATCTGTTGAATCGACTCTCCTTTTACCATTGTATTGCTTTGGTGCCTTTGTTGAAAATCATTGACTGTGTAAGTGTGGGTTTATTTCTGGACAGTCTCTTCTGTTAATTTAATCAACATCACACTGTCTTGATAGCTTCAGCTTTATACTAAGTCTGTTTTTTTTATATTTTTAAAAAAAATTTAAAATTTATTTTTAGCTGCGTTGGGTCTGTGTTGCTGCGCACGGGCTTTCTGTAGTTTGTAGTGAGCAGGGACTACTATTTGTTGTGGCGTGCGGGCTTCTCATTGCAGTGGCTTCTCCTGTTGCGGAGCATGGGCTCTAGGCACATGGCCTTCAGTAGCTGTGGCGCATGGGCTCTAGGGTGCGTGGCCTTCAGTAGTTGTGGCACGCGGGCTCAGCAGTTGTGGCTTGTGGGCTCTAGAGCGCAGGCTCAGAAGTTGTGGCGCATGGGCTTAGTTGCTCCGGGGCATGTGGGATCTTCCCGGACCAGGGATCAAACCCCTGTCCTTGCATTGGCAGGTGGATTCTTAACTACTGCGCCACCAGGGAAGTCCCTATACTAAGTCTTGAAACCATTTATCATAAGTCTTCTTTTACAGAGTTATTCTAGCTATTCAAGGTCCTTTTCATTTCCAAATATTTTTTTGAATCAGCTAGATGTTTTCAACAAAAATAAGTCTTGTGGGATTTTGATTGGAATTGTGTTGAATCTGTAGATCAGTTTGGTTAGAACCGACGTCTCAAGAGCACTGAGTTTTCCAGCCCACAAACTAAGTATATCTCTCTATTTATTTAGGTCATTAATTTCTCAAAGTAACATTTTGTAGTTCTCAGTGTAGAATGTTTGCACATCTCTTCAAATTCATTCCTATACATTTTATGTTCTTGATATTTTTGGAAATGTTTTTAAAATGTAACTCTCCAGTTGTTTCTGACTAGTATTTAAAAATACAATTGATGTTTGTATGTTGACCCCTCATGTCCAGCCACCTTGCTAAATTTAAATTAACTTACTACTTCTAGTTTTTTTTTATTGAGGTATGGTTGATTTATAATATTATATAGGTTTCAGGTGTACAACATAGTTATCCACAATTTTTAAAAATTATACTCCATTACAGTTATTATAAAATATTGGCTATATTCCCTGGAAGGTATTATGCTTAGTAAAATAAGTCAGACAGAGAAAGACAAATACTGTGTGATCTTACTTATATGTGGAATTTTAAAAAGCTGAACTCAGGGAAGCAGAGAGTACAGTGGTGATTGCCAGGGGCTGCAGATAGGGGAAATGAGATGTTGGGTACAAACTTTCTCTCTCTGACTTATTTCGTTAAGCATAGTACCCTCCAGGTCCATCCATGTTGTTGCAAATGGCAAAATTTCATTCTTTTTATGGCTGAGTAATATTCCATTGTAGTACATGTATACCACATCTTTATCTGTTCATCTGTTGATGGACATTTAGGTTGTTTCCATATCTTGGCTGTTGTAAATAATGCTTCTGTAAACATTGGGGTGCATGTATCTTTTCAAATTAGTGTCTTTGTTTTCTTTAGGTATATACCCGGAGTGGAATTGCTGGATCATATAATACTTCTATTTTTAGTGTTTTGAGGAACCTCCATGCTGTTTTCCACAGTGGGCGCACCAATTTACATTCCCATCAACTGTTCTCACCAACACTTGTTATTTGTGTTTTTTTTGATGATGGCCATTCTGATAGGTGTGAGTTGATATCTCACTGTAGTTTTAATTTGCATTTCTCTGATGGTTAGTGATGTTGAGCATCTTTTCATGTGCCTGTTGGCCATCTTCATGTCCTCTTTGGAAAAATGTCTATTCACATCTTCTGCTCATTTTTTTTATATTTTATTTTATTTTATCTTCCAAAAAGTGGATATTTTTAATGTATTCGATTAGCAAAGATTAAAAAGTTAGATAATTCCTAGTGTTGGTAAAAAGTTGGAAAGCAGAATTGTATATTCATTGGTGGCAATGCTTCTTATCCAGTCCATGTTCTGTGTATACTGAAAATTTGAGGTCTCTAGGTGCCATACTGTGTATCAGTCTTCACTAAACATCTTCCCTTTTTTTAAAGTTAATTTTTATCGGAGTATAGTTGCTTTACAATGTTGTATTAGTTTCTGCTGTACAGCAAAGTGAATCAGTTACACGTATACATATATCCACTCTTTTTCAGATTTCCTTCCCATCTGGGTCACCACAGAGCATTGAGTAGAGTTCCCTGTGCTATACAGCAGGTTCTCAAATTAGTGATCTATTTTATACATAGTAGTCTATACATGTCAATCTCAATCTCCCAATTCAACCTACTTTCCCTTCCCCTGTTGGTAACCGTAAGTTTGTTCTCTACATCTTTGACTCTATTTCTGCTTTGCAAATAAGTTCATCTCTATCATTTTTCTACAGTCCACATATAAGTGATATTGTACGATATTTGTTTTTCTCTTTCTGACCTCACTCTGTGTGACAGTCTCTCGGTCCATCCATGTCTCTGCAGATTGCTGCCTTTTTTTCTTTTTTTAAATTAATTAATTAATTTTTGGCTACGTTGGGTCTTCGTTGCTGTGTGTGGGCTTTTTCTAGTTGTGGAGAGCGGGGCCTACTCTTTGTTGCGGTGTGTGGGCTTCTCATTGCGGTGGCTTCTCTTTTTGCAGAGCACGGGCTCTAGGTGCACGGGCTTCAGTAGTTGTGGCATGCAGTCTCAGTAGTTGTGGCTCGCGGGCTTAGTTGCTACCTGGCATGTGGGATCTTCCCAGACCAGGGCTTGAACCCGCATCCATTGCATTGCCAGGCAGACTCTTAACAAATGCGTCACCGGGGAAGTCCCCCCATTTTTTAATTGAGTTGTTTTTTTTGATATTGAGTTGTATGAGCTGCTACAACTTCTAGTTTTTATTTGGACTTTTGGATTCTAGGATACAGTCATGACTGCAAAGATAGGTTTATTTCCCATAGATAATCATTTTTATTATTTTTCTATATATACCTCCAGTATTTAAAAAAATTTTTTTTGAAGTCCAGTTGATTTACAATGTTGTGTTAATTTCTGCTGTACAGTAAAGTGATTCAGTTATACATATATCTGTTCTTTTTCATATTCTTTTCCATTATGGTTTATCACAGAATTTTGAATATAGTTCCCATGCTATACAGTAGGACCTTGTTGTTTATCCGGCAGTATTTTTTATGAAAAGACAATCAAAGATTAAACACACATATTAAACCCTGCTCCCCACCCCCCACCTTTCCTAAAGGGGTCCTTGTTAAACTGAACCTTTTAATTGATATGTAATAAAATATACCCACCACTTCCTTACTGGCTTTTGGATTTTATGTGTGGTTTTTTTTGGCCATGCCCTGTGGCTTGCGGGATCTTAGTTCCCCCATCAGGGATTGAACGTGCGCCCCCTGCAGTGGAAGTGTGGAGTCTTAACCACTGGACTGTCAGGGAAGTACCTCCTTGTTTTTTTTTTTCTTTTAGAGTAGGTTTACCTTTCCTCTGTTCTCAGAACATGAGAGATGGTGGAATAACGCAGTGCTTACAAGTGGCACTGTCACTTTCAGTCACATTTCCTTGTCCAGGGCAAGTCATGAGACCAAGCCTGACGTCAGGGGCAGAGAATTACACAGAGAAACAAATAATTGGGAATGTTGATGATATCTACCACAAAGGGCCTACAGGCTAGAAAGGAATGAGGTAAAAAAAAATGCAAGGAACCTTGTGGACTGAGACTCTATGTATATTGTGTGAGAGGACAGGATCCCTGCTGAAGAGGCACAGGCATAGGGCCCACAGTAAGGGTCCCAGCAATGTCAAATTGCTTCTCTGTCCCACAGGTCCCGGCTGCATGGCAACAAGTTGGGCTTGTGTTGGAGGAATCACACCAGGCAGCAGAAATTGATCTTGAGATGAAATCATTTCTACCAGGCCTCCTGTCAGAATTTCAAGGTGAACACGGGGCTGACTCTGGGGCCATGATGTTGCCTGATCCTTCTGCCTGGAGAGAGCAGGACTGGGAGGAGATGTTGCCTTTGGAGAACAGGGAAGTTGCGGAAACTGTGAAGACACCGACTCAGAATCACAAGGCAAAAGGTGAGTGCTGTTGAGGGTCCAGAGAGGTGAAGAGGGGGAGCAGGGCTCCAGGTTTACTGCGAATGCCTTGTAATCACAGGCAAGTGGCGACTTCCTCTTCACAAGTCACGGAGGAGCTGCTCTGGCAGCACCATGGGAGCCCCAGTTTCTCATAGCTTCTTTTTCCTTCTCTAGGTTTGCCTTCTCACAAGACTGACTGGCTTCAAGAAAAGGAGGGAGAAGTCCAAAATACTGGTGAGTTGGGGTTACGTTTGTTTAAAGTCTCTCAAAATTGCTCTTAAGGACATGTGGCAAGTAGCGAAACATTTATTCAAGAAAATCTACTAAATCAGCAAGAGTCTGTGGCATTTGTCCCACAACCTGCTCCCTCCTGGTCACCCTTCAGCTCAGTGTAATGGAAGCTGTACTCCAAATGGGTACAGCTAAGAAGATGGGACTTTCTTCCCCCAGTTCCCAATCTTTTTCCCTGGGAGGGGCAAGCTACCAGCAATTCTTATTCCCCCCAGCTCAGTGTGACAGGCAAGTATGGCCAAGAAGTCTGGCATTTTCTATCTCTATTTGTATGATGACCCTATTTGTATGATGGAAGCTCTGTCTCAGGCACAGGTGGTCAAGAATCAGGAGGGACCTTATTGCCTTCTCCCCATCTTGCTCATAGGGCAGACAGAGATCCTGTGCTAGGAGAAGCATGCTGAGAAGAAAAGGAGCTGCCACCCCTGCCCAGTGCCCCACTGTTAGAGCAGGAGTGTCACACTGAGCGAAGCGGTCTGCCAGTCCTGTGCCACCTCTGAGTAGTGGTGCAGAGGTCCTGCCCTGGTGGGAGGCAGGCCATAGGAACAGAGAGCTCTACAGCGCTCCCTAAGGGGACTGGCTTTGTGTGGAACTGAGCAGGGAAGTTGAAGTCTTAGGGTGTTGTTGAAAACAGTGGAGATTTTGGTGGTGAGCAATTAAGAGGAAACTGAGAAGCCTGTGATAGCAACAAGGGAAATGGCAGATCACCTGGAAGTTTAACAGAGAAAGCAGGGAAAGAAATTGCTGAGAGGAGCTCTCCTACGGGTCGGAGTACGTCTCAAATACTGGCCTCAAAATTACCCCTGCAAAAGGATCTGACTTTAATTGGATCAGACTATGGAGCCATTTATACTCCAGGACATTGTTGAAAACAGTAGAGCAATCAGCAACCAATAGTGGAGGCTAACAGTCGGGTGTGATACCAATAGAGGCAGACCTGCTGGAAGCTTAACGGGGAAGTCAAGGAGAGACACAAAGAGAGCCCTCTGTCAGGAGGGGGAAGGTCTGGGTGACTGTGTGTTTGCTCAAGGCTGCACCCTCTGAGGAGCCACTGCTTCAGGGAAATAACCTTCATCGAACTAATCCAGACAGGTCTCAAAACAAATGAACAAGCAGACAGCCACAACCTAGGAAGACAGCAGGGTTGGTATCCAGAGTTGCTACAATATTTTACCTAAGATGTCCAATATTCAAAGAAAAATTATATAGATAAGGGGAGGGAGAAGGAGGGAAAGGGAAAGAAAGAATATATGAATTTAAGAATGAGAGAAAGCCTAAATAAATTTTCCTGGTCTGTAAAATGAAAACAACTTTTCAGTTCTATGAGTTAAATTATAATCTCGCTGGATTGTAAATTCATCTTCCCCTATTGGTTATGAGTTGTTCATTCATTGATACACTGTGGACACAAAGTTATACTCCTAGAGAATGTCCAGTGGGGTTGGGGCTAGGAAGCAAAGTAAGCTAAATGCCCTGCTTTCATTCCAGGAAGCTTACTGAAGTCTAGGCAGGACTTGGAGATATTGTGGGTTTGGTTCCAGACCACCATGGTACAGTGACTATCACAGTAAAGTGAGACACATGAAATTTTTGGTTTCTCAGTGAATATAAAAGTTATGTTTACACTATACTGTAGTCTATTATGTGTTCAATAGCATTATGTGTGAAAAAACAATATACATACCTTAATTAAAAAATACTTTATTGGACCCTGGAGGTCCAGTGGTTAAGACTTCGCCTTCCATTGCAGGGGGTACAGGTTCGATCCCTGGTCAAGGAGCTAAGATCCCACATGCCTCACAGCCAAAAAACCAAAAACATAAAACAGAAGCATTATTGTAACAAATTCAATAAAGACTTTAAAAATGGTCCACATCAAAAAAATCTTTAAAAAACACTTTATTGCTAAAAAATGCTAACCATCCTCTGAGCCTTCAGCAAGTTGCAGTAGTAACATCAAAGATCATTCATCACAGATCACTGTAACAAATATAATAATAATAAAAACATTTGAAATGTGAGAATTACCAAAATCTGACACAGAGACACGTGGTGAGCAAATGCTGTTGGAAAAATGGCGCCAATAGACTTGTTTGACGTGGGATTGCCACGAACCTTCAATGGTAGAAAACTTGATGTCTATGAAGGGCAATAAAGCAAAGTGCAGTAAAATGAGGTACACCTGTACTGCTCTACATGATGAGTGAAGCATTAAGGGCTTTATTTTAAAAAGGTTAAAATACCAGGCAAAGACAGATTTTGCAGATCCCATTTAGTATAACCTGAACTCTTCAAAAATGCTTATTCCGGGCTCCATCTGTTCACTCCTGCTTTTCTCTATGGTTGAAGTTTTCTTTCATTTTCACCTCTAAATCGTCTCTATTCCCTAATGCCCAGCACAAGCCTTGTGTACATGATGCTTTTTTTCTTCTCCAGCGCATGCCCTACTCTTCATCTCAGAATTCCTCCATTCCTCAGGGTCATTGAGCACTGCTTTAGGATTTCAAATTGATTCACAAATCATAAGCGTCCGAGGGCCAGGAATGAGTTTTATGCATCAGTTATGTGCTCCTCAGATTTTAACACAAAGCCGTAGTAATAATGCCCAGAAGAACTTGATACAGAGAACTATGTACTCTGAAAAGAATTAGATCAACTTCTTGCATATCCAGACTCTCCGGGGCCACCAGCTATGTTCCTCATAGTGGGAGGACTGATGGGGACTTGCTGTATGTCCCTTAATTTATTGCTTGTTTATAGGTACCAGTTACAGTCAGGGATGTGGCTGTGGTCTTCACAGAGGCAGAATGGAAGAGACTGAGCTCTGAGCAGAGGGACCTATACAGAGAAGTGTTGCTGGAGAATTATAGGAATCTGCTCTCATTGGTGAGGCAGTGTTCTTTCCTTCATTAATTAAGTGGAGATTTACTGACCACCTCCCATATGGCAGAAAATGTTCTAGACACTTAGAACATGTTAGTGAATGAAGTGGTAATCTCTGCCCATGGGGAATTACTTTCTACTGTAGGGAGACAGCTAACAAAAAGCTTCATATTCAGGGACATTATTATTATTTAAAAATTTTTGCATATGTTTAATTTTCTTTTTTATTGAGGTATAGTTGATTTACAATATTACATAAGTTTCAGGTGTACAACGTAGTGATTCACAATTTTTAAAGGGTATACTCCATTTTTGTTATTACATATACAGGGATATTATAATATGGTATGTTAGAAGGTGATAAGCACTACATAGTAAAAAATAATAATAAAATAGAACCGGATAAAGGAGTATTAAGTGTGAGAGTGTGGCTGGCTGAATTTTGAAACTGGGTATTTGAAATCACCAAGAAGGTAACATTTGACCAAAGGGAGTTAGAACTCTAGGTATCTAGGATAAGAGCATTTCAGGTGGAGGGCCTCATTGGTGCTAAGGCCCTAAGGAATTGGGGTGCCTGCTGGATATAAGGAACTACAGTAGAGGCACAGTATGCAAGGGGAGAGCAGTGAGAAATGCCTTCTAAGACAAGTTAACATTAAATATCAAAGTTTGTATGGCTTTTGAGTTTCATAAGCCATATTTTTTTCATTTATTTAAAAACTGACATCAATTCTTTAAATCTAGGTTGATAAATACTTTTGATTGTGATATTTCTCTGGATCAGGGGTTGGCCAGGTTTTTCTGTAAAGGGCCAGAAAGTAACTATTTTAGGTTTTGTGGGTGATATGGTTTCTGTAACCACTCTCAACTCTGCCCTTGTAGGGCTAAAGTAGCCATAGACAACAGGTAAATGAATGAGTATAGCTGTGTTCTAGTAAGACTTTTGTGGACACTGAATTTTGGATTTCATGTAATTTTAATGTATCATGAAGTATTATTGTTCTTTTGATTTTTTTCCAACTATTTAAAAATTTAAAAGTCATTCTTAGCTTGTAGACTGTGCAGAAATAGAGGGCCAGATTTAGCTTGTGGGCCATAGTTTTCCCACCCCTTGTTCTAAATCAGTGCTGTCCAGTAGAAATATAATGTGAGCCATGTGGGTAATTTTAAATTTCCTAGTAACCACATTTAAAAAAGTAGAAGTAAATGGGTGAAATTAATTTTAATAATATCTTATTTAACCCAATATATCAAAATATTTTCATGTCAACATATAATCAATATAAAAATTAATTAGATATTTTACTCTTTATTTTTGTACTAAGTGTTCAAAATCTGGTTGTTATTTTATACTTAGAACACATTTTCGCTCAGACCAGCCACATTTGAAGTGCTCAGGAAGCATACAGCTGGTGGCTACCATATTGGATAGCGTGGTTCTAAATATTCCTGTAGTTCTAGATAAAGCAGGTAGAGAAAAATCACATTTTTGGAGACACAGACTAGTTTTAGGCAGGAGTTTCCTTAGATGGCATAGGTATTTCCCTGATATGGATTAATCAGGTTTACTTTTTTCATTTTCATCTTCTTTGACATGTTTTGATCTGATTTCATCTAGTTTGAGCTCCATCTAATTAAGTGTGGATTCATCTGTTTCAGTCTGGTTCTGTGTGTTTTGATTTGGCCTTAGCTAGTCAGTCTAACTAGATTTTGTTTTTATTTTTCTCTTGTCATATTATCTTCCTTCTCTGTGTTAATATGTTTAACGGGTTCCAAGGAAAATATCAAAATGACCTTGTTCAGATTGGTCTTGATATTGAGTGCCTGAGTGCCTGGATCCCACTTGCATTTCTTGAAGTTGTGTTCTTTGTCTTGCTCAGCACCACAATATCCTGCAGTTCTCCTGCCTCTTATGTCTCTTGTGGGCTTTTCTCTTACTTTTTTCTTTTCTTTGGACTGTAATGGTCCATAGGACTAGTGTCACATCCTCTTTTTTTCTATGTCAGTATTCACACCCTTGAACAGTTTGTGAACTTCACCGATTTTACCCATCACCTATTATAATGAATCCATTTTCTTTGTCACTGTCTCACCTGTGCTTTGTCTTCATATTTCTGTTTGGTTACAAGACAGCACAAGTTTATTCTCAAACTTATTTGAGATAATTGAGATAAATTGAGATCATACTATTTTTCCTCCTAAACCAGTCTCTCTTTCTCTAGTTCTTCACATGTTCATGTTATGATGTCTCTTCTTCAAAGGTACTCCCTGAAATAATCTTTAAAGCTTTCATAGGGGAAATATTTCAGTTAGTTTAGGCTAGGTAATGCTGTGATAACAAACAACCCCAAACTTTGCAAATGTTCATTTCTTACTTAATATCTACTGTCTACAGTTCAGGTAGACAGCTCTATTGGTTCAGCTCTACTGACTCTGGGATCTAGGCAAAAGGAACAGCCTCTATCTGGGTCATGGGATTCTTAAGGAAGAGGGAAAACAGCAATGATAGAACCATACTGTGCCTCTTAAAACTTGTTTGGAAGAAGCACTAACTTTTCACTAACCTTTGTTGGCCAAAGCAAATCCCATAGCCACGTCTGATGTCACTATAATGGGATTAGTTTGGGCACAGGGTACCAGAATCCTGAAATCATGGAGCATGTCTTTCTGTCCACTGCTGAATCCACAATACTTTAGTAGAGAACCTAGTACTTAGAAATTTTTAGTATTTGTTTGTAGGTGGACAACTGGAAATTCAGATTTATTTCATATACAGTCTCTTTAACCACTGTTTCATATACTGTTTCCTACATTTGAAAGCCTTCCAGACCTAGTGACTTTTTTTGTATATCAGTCTTCTATTTTGTAATAGAAAAGGCATGAAAGAGGTTTCCACATAGGTCATAGAGACTGTTACCTCCAAGTAGAACAGAGTTGTGGACAGTCTATATCAATGTGATATAGACTTAGATGATTTAGTCAGAGGAAAAGTCTAAGGGTAGTTGAGGCTACTTGCAGAGCAGAAAGGTTCCTGGTCTGACTGACATATAGAAGATGCTTTTGTTATGGATTTTCTGGATTGCAATAGAAAATGGAATGTGTAGAAGTGGAATGTAAAGGAATTATTGGTGGGAAACAAATTGTGTTGTATGTATATTGTCAATTACAGTTGTGGCAGTAAGACACTTTCTGTCCTAAGACAAGGCAGAACGGCCCAGCAGCCCTAGTTAGGGCTTCTCTAACTGAAAACCTTCTCTCTCCAGCAGAACCAACGCCAGAGATCTATTCCTGTTCTTCCTGCCTTCTGGCCTTTTTCTGTCAGCGGTTCCTCAGCTAACACACGCTGCAGATCTTCCCGGGTGTGTGTGTAGAAAATCACTTCCACCTGGGGGATTCTGGCCTGGTGCATCGGGGGCAGCAGTATTCTGCTCACAGCTGCTGGAGTGAAAACACAGAAGGCCAAGAGAAAGAAGGTGACTCCAGACTCTGGTGCTCAAGGACAGAGGAGAGATGGCCCTTACGTGCATTGCCTAGCCCACCCTGAGAACAGTCAGCAAGTCCTGGAGAAGGCAGCGCAGTGGTAGAAATAGAGCCCAGCGCAGCCCAAAGGGTAAACCCTTTGCAAGCAGACAAAGAAATGAAGGAATTAGAAACCTCAAGCTCTGGAGCAGTCAACTGTCAAGAACGTGAACTAGACTGTAGCCCCAAATCAAACTGCATTACAAACCAGACCATCCTCTTAGGGGAGAAGCCCTATGTCTGCAGGGAGTGTGGGCAAGGCTTTAAAGATAAGTCGAACCTCATCAGACACCATTGGACACACTCAATGGAGAAGGCTTATGTGTATAGTGAGTGTGGCCGAGGTTTCAGCCAGGTGTCAACCCTTATTAATCACCGGAGGACACACTCAGTGAAGAAGCCTTACATGTGCAAGGAGTGTGGGCGGGGCTTTAGCCAGAAATCACTCCTCCTTGTGCACCGGAGGACACACTCAGGGGAGAAGTATTATGTTTGCAGGGAGTGTGGGCGAGGCTTTAGCAACAAGTCAAGTCTCATAAGACACCAGAGGACACACTGAGAGGAGAAGTCTTGTGTATGCAGGGGTCCTGGGCAGGACTTTAGCAATTAGTCGAACCTCTTCTTACGCCAGAGAGACATACAGGGAGTAGTCTGTATGTGTGTTCAGACTGTATGTATGTAGTTGTCTGTATGTGTGGGGTGTGAGTGAAGCTTCAGAGATGTGTTGACCCTCATCAGGCAGTGAGGCACATTCAGGGCAGGAGCCTTATGCGTGCAGAGTGTGGGTAGCTGTCAACCCTCAGTGCACAAAGAGGACGCACTTAGGTGGGAAGTATTGTGTGTGCAGGGACTGTGGGGAAGCTTTAGCAATAAGTCAGCATTTATGGAACATCCAGTGGCCGACTCAGGAGAAGCGTCGTGTGTTCAGGGAGTGCTGACAGGCATTGGGAAAAGAACCGACAGGAGGGCTCCAGATGGCTCACTCAGGGAGGAGCTGTGTGTTTGCAGGGAGTGTGGGCAAGGCTCTTGTGATCAGTCAGCTTTCTTCACACACTGTAGGGAGAATCCTTATGTGGGGATACTGTGGGGCTGCTCCAGCCAACTGCTGCTGATAGCTGCAGAGATGAATTCCTCACTAGACTTGCTCTCAGCCACAGGGAGCTGCACTTCCCAAGGGATGCCTCCTGGCCAACGACTGATTGATACGGGGAGACAAAACCCTAGCCGGACTCTGCTGGGACAACTCCACAGGGTCATCCCAGATCCCAAGGTCCCCATGAAACTGAATGATCTCAAACACATTGCAGGTCAGCTTCTTCCTCCGCCCAGTCCTGTCCTCATTCCCCGATAAGCCACTCAATTCTCTGCCTCATTGTCTCTCCAGGGAATCCACCCTAAGATAGCATAAGCACACAAGGAGTGTGGACGAGGCTTTGGCTAAAAGTTGCTCCTCAACAAACCCCAGAGCATACAGAATAGAAGCTCTGTGTGTGCGGGGAGAATGGGTAAGGACACCTCAGGATGCATCAGAGAACAGCTTTTGAGGGAGAAGCTTTACAAGGCAGGCAGGGAGACTGGGAAGATTTAGCAATAAGTTACACCTTCTGGTGCAGCCGAGGACACTCAGGGAGTCCTATGTGGGTGGGGTTGTAGGCGGAGCCTTATTCTGACACCCCTCCTCACAGATCACTACCTCACTCACCTCCTGGGGGGGTTTCAGAAGTCTTGACCCCCACCCGTCCCCATACTCTTTTTGAGAGTGAAGATGGCAGTAACAACTTAATAAACATGTTTTTTCCACTTTTTGTAATCAGATGGAATAAAAAAGTAGAAGGCTTTATTTAAGTAAGAATAATCAATTTGTTTTATTTTCAAACACCAATTTTTTCCCATGTTTTCATGTCTTTCTGTTCTCATAAATTGTTCAATAAGCTCAGGCTATGTACCTTAGTCACTCATCTGTCTGGAAAGGAATTAAATTTCACAACCTGGATTTCTGCATGAATTCAACCCTTGAGAAAAAATAAGTCCCAATCAACCTAGTAGATTTATTGGAGGATCTGATTCGTTGCATGGGGAGGATGATGTAGGTTCTGGAGACATGCCCACTGAAGCAAGGGAATTTCCCGGGTCTCTGGGGGCTGGGTTGCCTCTTCTGACTGATCACTCCCTTTGGCTTCTGTGAAAGCTCCCTTCCCTGACTTCTTTCTCTTCCTTCTAGTCTCTATTCAGGTCTCTGCTGTATCCTTCTCTACCACTGAAGCATTGTTTTTCCTTCCAGATTCCAGAGTCAGGTCCTTTAACCATGCCCAAACTGTTTTCCAGTCATGAATCATTGTTTTGGGTCTCTTAGCTACTTTGGTATCAGATCATAAGTCTAAAGACCCCTGGGGAATTCCCTGGTGGTCCAGTGGTTAGGACTCTGTGTTTTCACTGCTGAGGGCTGGGGTTCAATTCCTGGGCCCTAATCCTGCAAGCCACGTGGGGCAGCCAAAAAAAACAAAACAAAAAAACCCCTAAACACAGCTCCAATGCCACGTCCCCTCATCCCTCCAATCCTAGGGTCTAGTCCTGCTAATGACACCCACATCATCCCTCCACTAACTGGTCCAAGATAACCTGGTCATACCCCTGCCCTTGTTTTTCAGCCCAAGGACCTGGCCTTTAATCACACCCTTTCCTAGTCTTCCTCCCTCAGAGCCCAAATTGCCCAGATTTTTGACAACTCTGCATGCCCTGGCTCTGACTTCTATGTCCTAAGCCAGAACTCTTTACTGGAGAGGGTTGGCCTCAGCTCTAGCAAATTTGTTTGTTCAGTTGGAGTTTGCCAGATCCACAAAATGGATATCAGGCTTTGAAAATCAGACAAAGCACAGGCTGATTTTGTTGCACTATCAAAGAGGGGGGCAGTAAAAGAGAGTCCAAAGGCCATGAAGTCAGCTTTCCAGTGGGTCCTGAGTCAGCTCTGGTTGAGAGGATGTGAGTGCCAGGAGCGTGGGTCCCCACCCTTTGCCACATTTCCCGTCATGTTTCTTTGCTGGAACTGCCCCTATAACATCAACAATTTGCTTTGGGTCAGAACTGGAAGCCACAGAAGGAAAAGTGTTTATGGGTATGCAGTCTCTAGGGTCTGAAGAGGGATAGACCCTCTATGTTCCAGATGACCCCAAGACCCCTCCCTGTGTCCTGCCATTGCGAGAGAAACATGTGAACAAACCAGCACCTTCCTTTGGGAAGGAAAGGTGGGAGGAAAGAAAATGATGCAGATTCTTTTTAACTGAAGTCCCTTATAACCTGTAGTGACCTCAGACGTGTTCCAGGGAAAGGACTGTCAGTCCTAGCCCAGCAAAGGGAGAGGGGTATGGGGTTATCTTTCCAAGCCTGGAAAGGGGCTTCCCCAGACTGCTGCTACTCTGTCCTTTATCTCTAGGAAGGGCCACTGGAACCAGCTCCTGTATTCCATCCCAGCAGGAAGCAGAACCGGGGTGTGTGAGGTGAGCTCTCCCTCCAAAGAAAGGAAGGTACACATCCCCACTCCCTAGGATTTTCCTTTCTGCCCCCAGGGAGGAGCTCAGACGTACAATAAGAGCTTATTTCCGACAGGAGGTCAGTGGCCTCAAACTCAGAGGCCTGCAGTGTCCAGGCAGGTCCTATACTAATGAGGGGGTCAAGCCTCAATTGGGTGGGGGTGCTTTGGGAAACTGGGGAACTCAAACTCAAGTTGCTTCCTACATCCTTCCTGGTCTCCTCACTTGACCCCACTCTAGAAAGCCTTGAGCACCTCGTTTGGGCCTTTTCATTTAATGATCCAAATGTCCTGCCCCTTTTTGAGCCATGACCTTGACTTCAGAACCCTCCAGCATTCTTCCCCGTGTTCAGTTTTAGAACTGTCTTTTTCATGTTGAGTTTTGCTTAGTTTTCTGAAAAACATGGCAGTAGATTATGAAAAATGAACATCAGTTTTGATATGGGAACATCTGACCCAATAACACAATGGTGTGGAAACTCCGTAATCTGACAAAAGAACGTGTAAAAATGCGATGATTTGGCGGCACCTTGTGTGATGAATCCATGTGAGGGCCACCTGTGGGTCACAGAGAGGATCTGGGTTGGGGGGACTTTCAAGATGGCTGGCAATCTGACAGCCCCTGGCTCTAAAATTAGGTACAGTGGGTTAGATTTAAAGTGACCTAATTTATACACACAAGCTCTAATCTGACTTTTAAATATCTGTACATATATTTCTCATATATTCAAAGTAAGCATGTATAAATTTTTTATCAATTTTTTTCTAAAAGAAAACAGATAGTAAAGGATTCTTGGCAAAACATGAGATTTTCTCATTGCATAATCTTTCTCCTAATGGAAATACCATGTTATCCTTTATTTCCTCCTAATTAAGCACGACATATATAAAGGATAAAAATCCATATTCTTATATAAAGATTATTTTTATCTAGCTCTGTACCCTATTCATTAATTTTAACTTCATTATCATTTTGGAGAATAGCCAAAAACTCAACTGCCATTTTTTTTAAAAAAAATTTTAATTATTATTATTTTTTAAATAAATTTATTTTATTTATTTATTTTTGGCTGCGTTAGGTCTTTGTTGCACAGGCTTTCTCTAGTTGTGGCGAGTGGAGGCTACTCTTCGTTGCGGTGCATGGGCTTCTCACTGCAGTGGCTTCTCTTGTGGAGCATGGGTTCTAGGCGCACGAGCTTCAGTAGTTGTGGCTCGCAGGCTCTAGAACGCAGGCTCAGTAGTTGTGGCATACGGGCTTAGTTGCTCCACAGCATGTGGGATCTTTCCAGACCAGGGCTCGAACCCGTGTCCCCTGCATTGGCAGGCGGATTCTTAACCACTGCGCCACCAGGGAAGCCCCTCAACTGCCCTTCAAAGAGAAGTTTAGGACAGGTTGAAATATGACATTCTAGAATCCTAAAAAAAAATGAAACCAGATTTCTAGAGTTCCAGCCATCAGTGCTCTAAAAAGGATAAAAGCATTCCTTCTCTGTCTGAGTGTTGAGGCAACAGCTGAGGATTGGAAGATCTCACAAAGCCAGATTACACACAGGGACAGGCTTGTCTGCTTCTAATGTAGACCACAGTGTGGGGCCCAGCTTACCTTGCTTACTAGGTTCTAAGGCAGAGCTGGTTTTACAGAATCCTTGCTGCTACTAGTCATCAGTTCCCCTTTTCCCTACTTCCTACTTCTTCTGGGAACTAGAAAGCTATTTTTTTGTCTGGTGGGGGGCAGAGAGCTTAATTTTATGAAGTTTAATGCTACTTATCATAGTTTTTGTCTGAGCTGCCTCTCTTTTGTGTATTATAATAACCTTGGGTAAAAGCGGCAGGACCCCGACCTTCCCCTAGGTCTAATAAACACTGCCACTAACAGAGGCTTCCTTGTCTTTTGATAGAGGGGTTCAACTTGTAAAAATCTTAGAGTAAGTAAATTTTGCAATATTGGAGGTGTGCCTAATAAAATTGTGAAAACATTTGAGATCAGATTTTCTGCTTAATATATTGGTACAGGAATTATTTGGGTGTTGAAGACCTGGAAGAGATGATGTGGGGAATCTGAGAGAAAACTTAAGAGAAAGGTATGATGAATAGCACTGAGACCAGGGTAAATCTGGGAGGTCAGAAGTGT